AATATAACTTGTATCTATCATAGAAGACAATTCTAACTCCAAAATTAATTTAGAAATACTTAAAATTGTTGGGTTGGATGTATTCAAATTAAATCTTTAATTATTTTCCAGGACTCAAACAACCAATTTTAACTTTTTTGATATTTGATATTTTTGAATCTTCTTAGCTTAACACCATTGTCTTTCCTTCTTAGATTCCCTTTTTATATTCTTTTTTTGCATGTTCTAATTATTTTTTACTCCATAAACTTTCTAATCTCCAAGTTCAACAATCATTTTTAGAGACAGCTGAATTTTAATCTATTGTAAACAAGTATTCTAATTCGCATTGATTTTTGTTTTATTCAGTTGAATAGATTTAACATATATGCTCTACTACTAAACCAGGTTAGATATAAACAGTATATTAAACTTATTTTAATTCTATAGGCAATTTTTCCTTACTATCATAACACACGATTATAGGTCGTGCCTACTTTTTTGTTTTTGTGCTTAAACTGCTTTGTTGTTAAATCATTCAGCTTAGAATTATACATTTAAGTTAGACTGTTAATTAATAATTATTATATTTGATCTGCTGAAGAATCAAATTTAAATGCAAATTAATATATATTTTATCATTAAATTAATCAAATCTAAATATTAATGAATTCAAATTATCAAACTGAGAAAAAACTAAGAAAGAATAACATAATTTTACAAAAAAGAATGTAAGTACTATTATAGTGATATCTATTGCAAGATAAATATTACGAATGATTATACTTTAATAAAAAAATTTAAGACATTGCATTATAAAGAAACAAAATGGTGGCTTAACAATAATAATTTAAAAATGATTACTATTAATGGTATAATACTTTAAAATAATAAAAGTTAGTTTAATCCAACTTTTTTTAGGGTTTGAATTTATTATATATTTCTATTTTTTATCAGTTTTTCCTCTTAGATCATAGATTGTTATAATCGTAGGTATAGCTTATTAAAGTATATTAAAAACGGTTCTAATAAATAATAAACACATTTTGAAATATTAAGATTATTTTTTTTAATTAATAGATCTAAGTGACCAATTATTTGAATTAGAAAGATGCTTTTAGCTCCATGGTACGAGTTAATTATAATCCTTTTATTGTACCAAATTAGGTGTAATATGATATTTAATAATGAGTTTTATTAAAAATAAGTAATTTCAATCATTTACTTTCATTCCTATCTGATATTTATTCATTATCATATTATAAATCGTTTTCTCACATACCAATTCATTATTCAAAATTAAAACTCAACTTTCAACCATATAATAATTTTTAATTATTTCATCATTTTATTATTATTTTTTTAAATAATGAATATTAGTCTTTCTTTTAGTAGAATTCAATAAATGTTACATAGAGATTAGAATAAGATAAGATAAAATTTCTTATTCAATTTAGTTTTCTTTTTTCCTTCATTTTTAAAGTAGAAAATTTTAGAAAAATGAATTTCAATTTTCACACAACATTTTCTTTGATTCAACTTTTATTAAGAAGGCAGTAAAACCCTTTATTTAATTATCCTAATTATTTAATAACCATCTTATCCATTTTATTTTTAAATTGATAAATCATCTATTAAACCAATTACATTTTAGTAAAATTTAATTTATATACTTTAACTTATAGGGTAAATAAATAATAGTTAAAATGTTTAAATGTTTAATAATACTCAT